GTTATAGTTGCCGCCATCGTCATCGGACATCGGTAAAAATCAGTTGACAACGCAAATGTATACATGCTCACAGGTAACATTACAACAACAATAAAAAAGAGAGAGAGAGAGCAACGGAAAGAGAGAGACAGAGAGAAATTCTTTACATCTTGTCTAAGATTTCTTTTTGTCACTCAAATTCACTTCACTCGATAGCTTGTACGTGTGTGTGCGTGTGCGTGCATCGAACAAACGCATATAGTGTCCAACACACACGTAGGTAAAATATATAAACTATTTTTGATGTCATAAAAATAAAAATCTCTCATTATCTTTTTCTTCTTTCTTAGTCAATTGATCGACTGGTGTACTAAAAAAAAAAATGGACTTCATGGGATCTACTGCGACGGCTCAATATACACATATGGGCCATCGTCCTCAGCAAGGTAATATTTTACCATCAATAGGTACATTCGATTATCGAACATCATCGGCTCCGCCTTACTCTGGTTTATTAACTCGATCACTTTCTCTTCCATGGCGTCCATCAACATTTTATCGATCAGCTCGTGTTGAACCAACACAATCATTAAATTCATCTACAATGCAACCAATGAGTTCATCAAATTATCTTAATAATATTGATAATGTTAAAGTACCACCAATATTTCCATCAGCACGTCAAGCACTTTATACACGTTATACACCAAAAGATTGGTATAATGCTCAAATGACAAATTATTTAGCTTCGGATAAAATTCGTGCTGCAGCTGAACGTTTACGTTCCGATGCTATACGTTTAGCACGTGAAAAAGATGAACAATCATTTAAAAATAATTCTGAAACATCGAAACGTTTAGGTGAACGTATAAATGATATTGAATATTGGAAAGGTGAATTAGAAAAAACAAAAGATAAAATGAAACGTAAAATTGATGATGTTGAATCAAAACGACGTGAAGTTGAAAGATTATTATCTGAATCTGAAAAACCATTACGTATTGCACAAGAAAACTTATATGAACGAGAAAAACGACAAGGTTAAAAAGAATTAATTTTAATGAGGAAAAAAAAATTTTTTTTTTTTGTTTGTTTCGAATCAAATTTCTTTTAGGTATTGATCTTGTACATGATAATGTTGAACGAGAACTTATTCGAGTAAGTCTTTGTTTTCTTTGTAAATATAAACGAGAAAATGAAAAGAAAATTTTTATCTAGGAAGTTGATACAATTAAATTATGTCAACAAAAACTTCGACAAATGCTTGAACGTCTTAATACACAAAATGCGTAAAAAAATTATCAATAATAATATTAATATTATTTTATTTTTTTAGTCTTAATCGTGCTTCATTACATGAATTAGAACGTGATTCACAGGATAAATTTCGTGCTCGAGTACTTGATTCAGCTGCTCATAATATTAAAACAACATCACGTGGTATTAATTTTTACGAAGGCATTGAAAATGTTGATAACACGTATGTTTATCATAAATTATTTTATTAATTAATTACATTGTACTAACAGTTCTAAGTCTTGACTTTTTCAGAAAAAGAAACAAAAGTAAAGATAATAATCAGTCGTTTTTGTGGGTCATAATTGTAATACGGGAAATGTTTCCTCTTAAAAGCTATAGTCAATATTTCTATTATGTTAATGTAGTAATCTATTATTTCACACGTATTGTCAGATATTATAATTGTATCTTTATTTTATTACAATAACTTTTTCACATAGAAACTTCATGAAAAATCAAAAAAAAAAGATGATTATGATCAGAATTGGGCTTTTTCTTTGATATGTATCATTTCGTTATGCCTCTTTTCTATTAGAATGTGAGGGGAGAGGGATTGTTGCTAAGGTGTATGTTACGGTCTACTGAGATATATTAACTGTAGTCTCGATCGATTTAATAAATTAAATATCCTAAGTAACTTTCATATATGCTATAAATTTTTAGAGTATCAGTACCTGAAACATGGACACGATATACAGAAGAGAATATTCGTCGAGCTCTTAGTGAAATATCTCAATCGGATGAATTACTTAATGCTAGTAATCAACTTATGGCACAAAGTAATAATGATATGTGGTCACAATGGAATCATGTTAATGTATCACTTGAAAATCGTGTACAAGAAGGACAAGTAGCGAAAAATAAAATTCAAGCTCATCTTGAAAAGGTTCAAATGAAAAACCAAACAACTTTTATTTATTTATTATTTGTTTATTTCATATAGATTCTACAAGAAATCTTTGATGTTGAACAAAATATTGAATTTTTGAAAAAAACTATTGCCGATAAAGAAGCATTTTTACAAGTTGCTCAAACACGTCTTGAAACACGTACTAGACGACCAAATGTCGAAGCATGTCGAGATCCTGCTATGCATAGGTCATTTGAATTAATATTTATTAAACAAACAAACAACATATTTTTATTTAGATTAGTTCAAGAAGTACACGATTTACATGCAGGTATTGCTGACCTTCATGGTAAATTACGACAAGAAGAAAATGCTGTACAACATTTATTACGTACGAAATCAACATTAGAACAAGATTTAGCAATTAAAAACAATTCATTATTTATTGATTCTGATAAAGTTATGGGTATTAGACGTACATTTACAATAAATGCACCAGAAAAAAGTGCAGTTACTTCTGTTACATTTTCTCATCCTCGTGGATTGATAACTGCTTGAAGAACAGTAAATTTATTTTAAATATTTAAATAAAAAAAAAAAAAGAAATAATCTTTTGTTTTTATTTTTTAGTACAAACGTCTTTCACAATAGAGAAATTAATCGGTGATATCAATCGGTTTTTTTTTCATAGAATAAATCAAGGACTATATATAATTTCTTTTTTTTTTTCGTCTTCTATTCTGTATTATTCTTCTTTAGAATCACACATATGCATTCTTTTTCTTGTACACATGCACTAATGCATTTTTTATTTTATTTTCAATAACAAAGAAAAGAGAATAATGTTTTTGTTGATGTTCATAATTGGATGAAGCAAAAAAAAAATGGAACTGTTGATTTAATCAAGGGCGATACTATTTTTCAATAAGTCAAATTTTTATTTAAGATAAATAGATTCTTGTTGAAATTAATGAAACATAATTTGGAACAACTTAAGAAATTACAGATAAATGTAAAAAAAAGACTTGAAAACTTTCATTTAAAAAATTGAAAAAGATGATAATAAAGAATGGATGCTCAACTTTAATTGAAGTTTAGTTAAATCTAGGAAGTTGTAAATTTCAATTGAAATTAAGTTTGTTTTAACAAGCTCCGATTAAAAAAGATGAATGAATTTTTAATATGATACTTTTTGAGTAGCATTTTTTATCAATGATTATTTATTTTCGAATTTAATTTATCTTATTGATGATATTTAAAGTATAAATCTATTTTGATGCTGCGTTTTATTGATTTATATTTCAACCCAAAAAAAATTGAATATTCAAAAAATACTTTCGAAGAATAGAATTTCAGATGATAGTACTACTGAGTACTTTCCTACTATTTAAGCCACTTTAAGTTTTTTTTTTTTGTATAGTAGAAAAGTATGACTTTGTATAAATATAATCTCTTCAATACTTCACTTATTATTATTTAACTTTTTGTCTAGTTTCAGATGTTCCTTTATAGTGATTTACAGTTTTCTAATAGTGTTTTCGTCTTTTTTTTAAATATTGTTTTAACTTATACACCTGAGTTGAAGACTTTTGTTTAAAAGATTTTGTTCTTCTACTACAAATTTCTCGAGCACTTATTGTAGATTAAATCCAGAATATTGAAAACAAAATCAAGACTAGAAAAATAATTAGATGATCTATTCGATCGTTTAAACCATTTTCAAAATACAGTACCTATTCAAGTATGTTTTCCATCAAGATTACTAATCATATATATTTTCATTATTCGTACAACATTACGAGATTAAAAAAAAAAATAGTTACATCAAAATACTCAGCTTCCGTATATATCTATTCGTGCATGCTTAGTTCTTATTGTTAGTAGACTAAATATTGGAAAAAGAATATTTCAATCATGTATTAATTATGTACAAAGTGCATTCCAACGATATTCGAATTAATTTGACAGTCAATGGTATTTTGCTTATAGATACTAAATAATATTTTAATAAAAACCCTAAAAGAATTTGAGTTTCTGTTGATGTTTGACAAAGCTATGGAATTTTTATTGTGTCTATTTTCTAGACGCCAGATTTTCGGAAAAGTCGTATTTTCGAATTTTAATCGGAAACTTTGCACATAGAGAAAACTCAACTAGACTAGCTTCCATAAGAAAACTCACAAATTTTGAATAAATTCTCTTCCGAATATGAAGAGAATTATAAATACATGTTATATACATTATCCATAAAAGAGTATCTATATCTTTAAAGCGTCATATTTCGAAGGACTTTGTTGAAAACTTGTGAATTTTTTTTTCATGGAAGCTAGTCTAGTTGAGTTCTCTATATGAGAAAATTTTCAGATTAAAATTCGAAAATACAATTTTTTCGAAAACCTAAGTCTTCCATTCCTTGAAAAAGAAAGAAGTTTACTATACTGAAATAATACGACAAGAGACGTACGGAACTAAGTATTGAAGATTTACTAGGATCGAAACCATGAGAAAGAGAAACTGCCAAGACTGGAATCGGGACTAAAAGAGAAAAACCTATTGAAATTCTCAACCATTCTTCTTCTTCACATTAAAACTAGTATTAATGAAATATTCTAAGGTTACTATGTGGTATGTATCTATTTTCTTAATAAGTGAGTTTTCTTAATATTCAACTTTTGTCTAACTGTTTTAAATTCATTATGTCATCAAACTTTTGATCTTAATCATCAACCACGCATTCATACAGACTTGATTTTAGCATAGATTTGATTATTATCATTTGAAATTAAAATCTTTACAAGTAGTTTTCTATTTATTTATTATATATACTGTTTTCAAAATACAAGAAAGAAAAAACGAATTGAATTTATTCAAATTAACAAGGAAAAAGTTTTTGTCGTTTATTATTCGCTTGATCATCAATTGATACTAAACATAAAACAAATGAATATAAGATAATGATTTAATTATTCAATATGACGTACAATTTTTATTTTTTTTTGTCATTTGATTTGATAAAATATTTTCAATTGAATGTTTAATTAATGATGATGATGATGATGACGATGAATTTGTTTCAATTGAAATGTCATCATCCAATGGTGAATTTATCGTTTGTTGGCGAAAAACTTGATTATAATGATGTAATACACATAATAAATTTGCTTGATGATTTCTTAAAGAAATAAAAAGAATTATTCTATAAGCAAAAAAAGAAATTAGAAAAATATACAATAATTTACCGAGCTTCTAATAATTTTTCAACATCATTTGATTGACAAGTATTTATTTTCTACGAAGACAAAAAAAAAAAGAATTTGACTATATTCACAATTAGTTTCTATTTAAAATTCTTACTTTTGATTGTCGTCCATGAATAGATCCCGGTCGAATAGAACCAGTTTCATAAAACCTCGTTAAAATTTTCGAAACACATCCATGTGAAACAAGTAATTTTCGTGATATATCACATGGACGAATACCATTTAATGCTAATTCGACAATTTTTCGACGTACATGATCAGGTAATGGACGACCATTAACAAATATACCACCAAGTTGATTAACTCCTGCTTGTCCTATATAATTATTTTCGATACATCAAGAATAATATTATGGAATATGTACTCACCTAGACCAGGTACATACAACTTACTTTTCATCGTTTTGAATGATACCATTCAACCATATGAAATGACTGCTTGATTGAGAAAAGAAAAATATTCTTATTGGTTTATCGCATTGATCTTTTATTGGACAAAATACAAAAAGAGAGACAGAGAGAGAGACAGATATGGGTAGTTAATACACATTTTTCACACATATACCAATGTGTAATATTATTCTTATAAATCAGAGTAAAATAGATCATGAAAATAAAAGTGTTGAAGCATATAAAATCAGTGTTATTCTCAGACAGAACTTTTTTTTTTTGTCAAAATATTTACAGAAAAAATAACACATTCGAATACTAAAGTCGACCTCTCAACTCATCGCTGATTGATAATTAAAATAGATTGTTCTATTTTAATTGTTGCTGAATTGAGCTTAGATCTATTTTAATCAGTTCCAAACAGTGGCGGATGGAAACAAGTTATTAACGATTTTCGTGAGAATTTTTTTAATATTTTCTATAATCAATTGATCAAATTTATGCTGTGATCTATAGCAACAACAAAAAACAAAACTAAGAAACAAGTCATACAAGAAACTCTAGTTTTCTATTTTTTCGTTTTTGAGAAGTTGTCGATGAGTTGTTCGACATCAATATGAATCATGGCATATACATACATCATTATCATCGCCTTTGGTTAATGTCATCAGTAACATAGCATAAATTTTCTTCTACTCAATTCCATACTTATTAACCATCAACAGATTAAGCACAAATGAACTGTTAGCATGACGATTGCTTATTTCAAAGTTAAACTCTATGAATGTTCACCAGCTATCTGAAATCATTTTACATCAAGTTCATAACCGGTATATTCAGTTATAAGTTATTTCTTGTTTACATATAAATTCATTTTTTTTTTAAATTCAAAATTTATGAAATATTCTGTAAATCTTTTAAAGTGTGTAATCATCTCACATGGTAACAGATGTTCAATCAGTTAAGATTGTATTTCTTTTACTTTAATAGATTTTTTTTTCTTGTATTGCTTCGTTGGTGCAGCAGTCGCCGTCGTGTATACATACTTTGTGTATATGTCACATCAAACGTGGTCTCACATCGATGATCATTATTGTTGTTGCTTTCTTTTTGTCTACCGATAATAATTTGTCATCGATAGCTATGGCATAAAACGGACAAGTACCGCCATTTCAATTCTTCACGTTGGTTATCATAAATATCGATATTAAACAATTAGAACTGTCTGTTTTAATAAGTCAATCAATTGAAAATATCGAACAAAATGATTTCGACTGTTCAACTATAAAAGGTGTTATCAAGAAAAAAAGAAAAAGAAATGTGTGTCAGAAATTAGTTCGCCTTGTGCTATAGAATCTCTATTTTAAATATACGAAAACTCATTTTATAATCACCGTTCATCTTTTCATTGGACACTTGAATGAACAAGAAAAGGTTAATTGATGTTGTGCTTGATTGATTCCTACTGTACTTGTTTGATTGTTCACTACAACAAACGTCTTTACAAGAGATAGAGTGAGAAAAAAAAAGCAGGACATTTCTTACTCATTAATTCAATAATGATGATACGTACCATTAAACACGTTTATTTTAACTGTGATATGTGTGAAAGTGAAAGAGATTCTTATATACAAATTTTATTATTATCATAATAGTAGTGTCATTCATTTTTTGAATTATCTTAGAATAAAGAAATGCTGTTACATCGTATTATATATTTATTTGCTATCTTTAACCCTCTGACTTTAATGAACTTAAAAGAATAACTACTTAATAAAAATTGTATCTATTAAAAATGATATATACAAAACAAAAACAAAAACCAGGAAAAAGAAATGATAAAAATTAGCATCTTTATAAATAATCACAACAAGAATAAAGCATATTGCAAAAGATGACTTATTATGGTAATGAATAATTAACACAGAGATAATTTCAAAAGGAAAATGAAGAACTACTGACTGCAACATTTGATAACTAATATTTTGTTACTGAGAATGATTTCGATTTCAGAAGAATTATTCGAACAACAAACAAACAAGTTCCTTAGTAGATATTTCGTCCCATATGTATATAACCGAGATTATTGAGTGAACATTCATCATAGATGAAGACGAAAAATAAATCATTTAAATAAAGATAGTATGGAATTCGTTCTAGTGATGTATAATAAAAGTGATTAAGATTCGTTGTTTTAGGTACGATTAATGAGTTGTTCCGAGCCGAAATGTTTTTCCTTATTCAATAGTCTAAATAATTATACGATTTCACGCATTTGATGGAATAACCACCAACTTTGAGATCAAATGTTTCATCGAATTATTTACTCAATGTTTGAATAATATTATACCGTTTGAAAGAGTCAATTCTTTTCAAATGGTTACAACCAGAAATTTTCTGTTTTATTAGAAATTATCGGTAATAATATATTTGATATATTATAACTTTGAATTATAGTAGGAATCTTATGACTAAGAAAATTTGCTTATTGACATAGCTGAGTTATATCATTTTCTTCTTTCAAAATAAAGTTACGTATAGATGAAAGAGAAATTCATGATTGTAACTTGATATTAAATAACTTCATATTATATACGCAGATAAATATCGTGAATCAAAAATAATAACATTATCATCATAGTTCTTGTAACAATATGAATAAATAATAAAAAGTTTGATTTATTTTCAAATAAACTCGTGTATATCAAACACTGACTAGAGTCTCATTTTTACTACCTTGGGTTCATACTTCAGCAACTCATATCAAAAATACTCTTGGAATGTGTAGTTTCGCATTTTTCAAGCAATTTCAAAAGGATATATTCATTATATGCACAACTCTAAGTCAGACAAATTAGCAATTATTAACGCAATAAAAATATTTCGCTGTTTTATTTAAAATGATATAGATCATATTTTGGTAGCAATTGAATCGAAATGTTTTCTCTGATTCATGATGGAATAATTCAAGTTATAGAGTATTGTCTTTTGTTTTCTTTTCGTTTGTTATTAATGATAGATCAGAGCCACTCGCACCCCGTTGCATGTTCATCGAATTAAAACAAACATCTTGTGAATATGTACGCAATTATTACAATAGTATTGATACATTGGAAATATCGACAAAATTTAGAATTAATTCGATCGTCAAATAAACAATGTGTACAAAATAAAAAGATATTAATGAAAAAAAAAAAAAATTTTTTTTTATCTCTTAAATCTTTCACTAAATAGCTCACTGGAACCAGTCGAATCACTGTGGACAACAACGTGAACATTTGATGAAAAAATGAAAGTGATATTTTTTTGTAACTTAAATAATGTGCAATATACTCGAGTCAATGGGTGAATTTTATTTAGACAACTCATTCTAGCTCTTCAAGGGTTTGAGAAAATCTTAGACCCAAACTCTTTTGTCTCAAAAGTATTTTAAGAGAAAAATAAGGAGACAATTGGGATCTGCACGGAAGCCTGCGCCAAATAACGTGACAATTAGTAACTTGATCCATTTTCACATAGATACTCACCACTCTATATTTCCAGTTCCATCAAATCGGAGACAAAGGAGCACAACATATAACTGGTACATTGGAAAATAACAGTGTCACTGTCATTTTCTGGTGTTATTATTTAGATACTATGTTCTTCTAAGGACTATTTGCCTGACTATCATGATGGGCTTAAGAATTTTGAGTGATGGTATAGCGTATTGATATTTCGAGCAGTGAATAATGTAGTGACCGTTTGCGTATGGGTGATTTTGACTGGTAGAAATCAGTTTGATTCAGCTAAAATGTGGGATAGGCACACGAGGTGGGATGGAAACAATTTTTTGGCTTGAATGAGGTTGGTGGGGTGAACAAGAGTTGACTTTTTCTTAAATGAAACTTGCACAAGCTTTGTTTTGGAGCATGTATGCTGGTACATGATTTTAATGCTTGCTAATCAATGCTTTCGTCATTTGAGATTGAGTGTGACATATCTGAAACTGACAATCTTATCTGAAGGAATGCAGTATAGAGCCTTCCTTTTTTCATAGAAAACTGAGAATCTCGGTGCAAAAATCTCTTCTAAGGATGAGGATTGCATTTGAAATTTTCGACTAAGCAATTGAAAGATTCATTGTGGTGATTTGTTCCGTGAGTATTTCTGGTTTGTTATGTTGGGCTTCGAAAGAAGTGTGTGTTGTTTAGATGCTGCATTTATTATAAATGATTGCTATGTTAGATGATGATGTTTACATACCGGAGTTCGATAATGTTCCTCAGGCAACTTTACCAAAAACAGATATTAGATATGGAATCTCGGCGAGTGTGGATGTGGGTGTAAGTTTATGTGTTGGTCTCGATGTGGATGCCGATGATGAAGAGACAAACACTCTACACTTACACCCATCAACTCTCACACTTATATCCACGCTCTTCCTGAAAGAAGTATTAGAAATTTTTGAGTTGAACATAAGCTTTGCACTACTCATCAAGATCTGTTTGGATTACAGGTTAAAGAATTTTCTTTGAGTCGTTACCAAAAAAATCATGAAAGTTAGCACGTTCTCTTGATATTTCAAAGTTTCTAGGTACGGCAATGATTCGTTTCTGTTAACCTCCAGAGCAGATATTCATATGAACAATCTAGTTCGAATGCAACGCATTGAACGCTCTGTTTTTTATGCTTTATTGGAACTTTTGTCCATGTATTTCTTAGTGGATGTGCAACAGAGCTTAATCAAGATCCTGAAACACTTGAAATAATGTTTGCCTTGATAGAATTAAATCGAAAAATTCGTATGGATCAATGCTGCTAAGCTCGACAGAGATGCTTTACTTTACATCGTTTGAAGCAATCTTCAGCATAAGTCGATTTTAATACTATGAAGTGATTCTTTCTCAAGAAGGAACTTTAATAATTTGTTTTTAGCAAAGATGCATGTCTCCTGTAGATCGACACTCGGTTCAACGTCAACGCTTACTAGAAAGGAAAATGGAGCTTTTCATGCTCTCTTTCTGTTTCTTTCTAGAGGAAAGAAAAGTGAAAGAAATGATTGTTTATCAGAACTGGAAATATCATGCAGCAACGATAAGGTCAAATACCAAATCAATGTTGAGATCGCTGTTTTCTTTTTTGGAGAAGAAATTATCTCTCTATGACTAACACGGAAACCTCTTGAAGTGTCTCATCACTTTTCAGCTCCTAATTTCCCATAGGTAGATGATTGTGAAACTAGAATAATCCTAAGAGGATTTGTGCTCATGGTTCTTCATTTTTAAGATACTGAAGTCTTACAGTATTTTTTAACCAACCCTATGATATTCCTCAGCTCATCTTGAAACTCGAATTTCGAGGTTTTACTTGAAAGTCTGCATGAGTGAAGCATTCAATGAGTTGATTCATGGCAAATAGTGAAGGTGTAGGTGTGAGTGAGGACACCGACATGAGTGAATGTTGGTATGAGTATGGCTGATGAGAAGACTAACATTCCACGCTCACAAGCAAAGTGCGAAAGAATCTTTAAACAGGTTTATATTTCAGTAGTGTCTACTATAATAGTACAGGTCATTCCATTTATTTTGAAACAAATTAGAAAGCTTTTCATTTTCTTATCTTGAAAAGTTTGTTGCAATAAATGTTCAATATGTGTTCCATGAACATAGTAAATTAATCTACGATGCTTTGCCCAATTCTCTAAAGCGTCGTCGATTTTATGGAGCTCAAGATTTTCACACTACAATTTTACAACATTTTTCAAGCTATTNAGAATAACTACATATCTAATCCAATATACTAAAGAGATATTCAACATGTAGGACTATGTTATATCATTACAGTTTGCGACGAAGATATTAAATCTGTGATGTAATATAATTAGCACTGATTTTACATGACAAAGAAGGACGTTGTTACAATACGAATAGTTTTGTTTGATTCCAAATGATCGAAAATCTATAGACATCGCATTATGAAAACTTAAAAAACTCGCCAAAAAAAGTATGTTTCAAGCGTTTTTGAGCATCAGTGTGAGGCGTATAATTTTTGAACGGAACAAAATAAAAATTTCGGGTTTGTGTAAAATGGTAGATCTTGAGCTGGCGAATCTAATGCACTAATTACAATTGAAATTCCATACAACTTTTATAGCACTTTAAATACTTCTTTGAATTTTATTGACTGTTCATCAGAGTCATAAGATGGCTTTTTTAACCATCTATACAAAAATGCAGAATACTCGCCTCTATCGAATGATGAAAACCACAGACCGATAGCTATTTCCGTTAAAAAGTTATTCAAAAAACGATCACCCTTCTTTTATTTTGAAATGGATAATAGTTAGGTAATTTCAATATATTCATAGACATTTCGACATTTGAATCAGTATCGACAAGAAAACATCCCATCAAGGAAACCCCCGTTGATTACATTCAAATAGCATTCCGATAAAACGAATATAAATTCTATAAATAAAAAAGCTCATTTCTGATCGGTCGGTCTCCTAGCCAATGGGAAGATCGGATGTAAAATCCAACCTCAGATTCGGATTCCCTGACCTCAATTACCTTTGGTGAAACTTTAGAAGTTACGCTTAAATAAACTTCGTCTCAAATGTTTTTTTGACCCTGACACATACAAACACATTTTAGGTTTTTTCATATGACCCTCCCTACAGTCGAGGGAATAATGGGTGTGGGTGAGTGTGGGTGAGTGTGGGTGTGGATGTACAGAAGAACCACACCCGCACCCACACCCACTCACACCCACACCCACACCCACACCAACACCCACACCCACCCACACCCACACCAACCCACGTCCACCCACACTCACCCACACCTCAAAATATTACGAGCACAGTGAAAGCACCATCATCGTCAGATTCCTACGAACTGCATTTTTCAATAAGAGTATGCCCGACATTTGATTTCAAAGATTGTCATAATTCTCTCAAAACAAATCTGAATCTCTCTTGCAGATTAACTTCTTCATATCAAGTTGAATGGAGAGAGCATCAAGTAGAATCTGTCGTTCCAAACCAATGATCTCGTCGAGATAGCTATGCACCAGTTTCTGGACCGTGCGACAGCACTAAGGTAATCTTTCGATCTTCGCAAACATGCATTATACACTGAATATTTTATTGCTCTTTTCTTGTTTTACCCTTCAGTTCGATTATATTTGTTCTGTATGATTGAAATTTCGCGTCTTGTTAACTGAAATTAACTTATCATATTTACACGATTTGAATGTTCAGAATTTACTCTATCCATTAGAAAAATATGAGCTGCCTAATAATCACGTTTTTGCTTTTATTACGACACAGCTAGCAACTCCAAGACTTCACAACCATAGAATGAGCGAATTTCAAATATATCCGTAGGGCTGAGTTTTTCTCTTTGGCCGATCTTCACACCGGGCATATTAGGTATGATGGTTGGTTGTCCATTACTACTAAAAGAGTGTGATCCGTAGTGCATAATACTGTCATAATCATAGCTCGAATTTTGATTCAGCACTGAACCGCCCCATAAATATTTATTGAAGTTATGTCCCTGCCAATATCAGATATTCATAATTATGTGCATACTGCAGTGAAATCTTACTTCGCTTTTCTGAATATTTGCATGATTGATAGTGATATACGAGTCACGATCAGGACGTGATTGCTCGTGGTAGAAGCCTAAAAACTCATATAAAATGATTTTAATGTGATATATTGCAGAATGCTACAGTCATTGAGGTTTACGAACATGAAATCTCATACTTATGTTATTTTTCCACTCTGTAGATGTGAATTTTGCTAATCATTTAGCAGTATTTTAAGACCTGTTTTTCGACACTCAGTTCAAATATAGACTTCTCACTATGTTTCGAGATTTCTCAAAAACTCTCACCGAGCACATGTGTTAATTCATGTTGAATAATTCCAGGCGTAAAACAACCATTTTTCTGCAGAGTTACCGTCTTCTTGAAAAGAGTATAACCAACCTAAACAAATGATGTCACCTCGTAGCTTGAAAATATTACGATCTTCACTTTCTCACCGTTGCACTGCAACCTGTTCCGTATTGTATGTTGAGATAGCTAAACTCACTAGACGTTCTAGGCCGAAAAGTAACGCATGGGGTGATTGTTGATTCACCCGGCTTGATGGAGCCCGTAACAGACATCAACGTGTTCATTGCTGCTTCAATCATGTCACGGTCTTTTTTATCTGTAAAAATACACATAGTTTGCTATGCATCTTATTTTTACCGTTACATTTACCTGTGATCAGCGAAATGTCGTAAGGAATTGTATTTTTAGGCCATTGACGAGGTCCAGCAATAGCCACGCCTCTTCCAGTTGATTCCTCTGATGGATTGAAAACTTCGGGAGGCAAAATCATGTCACCCTCGAATCCACCACCTAAATATGCATCAGTTAGTATGTTAATCCAGCAATCATGATGATACTCACCGAGCAACTCATAATCAATTTCAGTTTGGGGAAAGTTTGAGATAGGGGTACTGACTGTTAATCCCACAAGGAGATATGACATGATTAAGATATGAGCAAACATGTTTCAAATCGAGATACACGATACTGATGATCGAGTTTGTTATTCATTTTATACTAACACAGTAATGCTCTCTTATCAATGAAAGAAAAAGAAAATATAATCTCGGCGTGTGGATTTTGATGAGAAAGTTTGCACCTGTCCAATAACGCACTGTTTTGTCACTTTTTTGCGGACATTTTGTGATTACTTATACTGTTTTACGCTATCCAGATGTTTTGCGCAGATTGGATTTCAAAAAATCGACTCGTGGGTGTGCCTGACGCTTTTAAGTTAAGGTTAATATGTTGTATCTACTGAGTCAGTAACGAAATATCTATTCAAATGAGCTTTTTCTTGTGAGGGACAAAGTGCTATCACGTAGCACGATTCTCTCCTAGTAAGTCATGCAATTTTTTCTTATCCGCATTATTGTTTACTATTTATCTTCTGAGCGGGTTATTGTACTCCAACGAATTGGGGAGGGTTATTACGCTTTTATTCGTTAAAAATCGTTGTATGTATGGAAGCAAGAGAGCAAGGGAAAGCTCGAGGGTGTGGGTGGGGTATGGGTGTTAGGTGTGGGTGTGGGTGTGGAGTGTGGGTGTGCAGTGTAGGTGTGGGCGTGGACTGTGGGTGTGGGTGTGGGTGTGTGTGTGGGTGTGCAGTGTGGGCATGGAGTGTGGGTGTGGAGTGTGGGCGTGGGTGTGGGTGTGGAGGTGAACCTTCTCCTTATTGACACCCACACCCACACCCACACCCACACCCACACCCACACCCACACCCACACCCACACCCACACCCACACCCACACCCAAAATCTTTGAGTAATTTCTAACATATTAACTTTCTAGGAATTTTTACATCAGATAATGTATTTTACCAAGAGAGAAGAATTTTACTAGAAAGTTTTAGAGTCGAAAGAAAAACAAAGGTAACAAATCCATGACGATGATATAAAAGCTCATAAAATAAATATTTATTTACCATCACAAAAAAATTTGCTGTAATTTTTTCATAATTGACATGAATATCATAAAGAATATGATCTAGTTGATTATAAAATTAATGAAATCGTTGATCATTTTGATTGATTAGATTAAATTTTATTATAAATAGAAGTCATTTGCTCAAGACCATGCATTCGATATTTTGATAGAAGAGAATAGATTTCAAATGATTTGATGATTATTTCACGAAAAGACTAAGAAAATTAAGCACCATACTTACTCATTTACATGTTATATGTATTTGAGTCTGTCTCTGTTACATATATGCGAGCAGAATAGAATTGTAATTTATTTTTTCTTCAAGATCAATTTCTTTTTATTGATAATTATTCAATTTAATTGCAAGAAAAAAAGTTATCCAAATGAATGAATCTGTTCGACAGAAAGTCGTTGCACTCGATGATTGTTAGTGTCAACAATATATAGAAGACCATGTCGATCGAAGGACAAATCCATAGGCCAAGCTAATTGATTGACTCCTTCTCCTAAACCATTTCCACCCACGATCACAGAGCCTTGTCTCGCTCCTTTAGGCCAACGCATTACTCGATGATTCCCGCTGTCTACCACATATATAGTACCCAACGTATCGACAAACAGTCCTCGAGGATATGATAATTGTGTCATAGCATCTCCTTGACCTTGACCACCAGCGACGACAATTCCTTGTGTTGCATTTTTATTCCATTTCATCACACGATGATTGTTGCTGTCCGACACATAGACAGACTGCTCTCGATCGATAAAGATGTAAGTTGGTACGCTGACTTGATTGAGACTAGCACCTTGCCCATTACCACCAGCCACGACAATTCCATTCTTGTCTCCCATTTTATATCGTCTGACTTCATGTTTTTGAGGGTCAGAGATGTAGAGATACTTCTGATCATCGATAGCCAATGCGTAACAACTGATGTTGTCGAGGAGAATTTCTCCTTGAGTACTACTACTACGACGAGACCATCGTAGAACTCGTCGATTGATGTGATCAGAAATAATGAAACTATCTGTCTCTTTGTCGACCGACACATCAATTGGATGATTCAATTGATCCAATTCATTTTCTTTGCCACGACCACCAGCTACCACTTGTCCATCGGTATCACCCATCTTCCATTGGACGACGCGATGATTCCAAAAGTCAGCAATGACCATCGTTTGATCATCATCAATGTAGAGACCATAAAGGGCCCAAAGTTGATTCGTAGCACTACCTTGCCCATGGCCTCCAGCGACGGTCACTGCACTTCGTGCCAGTTGGGCATTGATTAGAATACTAGGAGTCACTATAATGAATAAAAAAATCAAAAGGAACTATCGTCGATGTCGACGAGCTATGAATGAGATAGTCTTTGACTTCGAAGGAAATCTGAAGAACTATCGTGTATGTGACTGACAGTGTTCTTTTCTGATACACTCTACATACAAATAGATTCTACGTGCAGATATAAACTGGAAAGGTGTATTTTTTTGGTCCGATAAGTAGAAAAAAAGCAATAGACATTTTGATATCAACCCATTTTATACGGATTCCTATATTGATGTCACAAAAATTGAAGCGTGAAACCTGTTCATTGTTTTCAGATAGCATAAAAGTACCTGTCTTGATTCTACACTTCTAGCTCTACTTAAATTTCATGTTGACATGTTTTTTCCTATAGTCAAATTGAATCTTTGCTAGGAACTATTCCAGTTCTCTAATACATATTATTCAGAAATGAGAAAACCCGAATTTAAAGTTAGAATTCTAATCTAAATAGCCGTGTAGATTCAATCCAGATTTTAGAACGTTTAAAACAATATTTCTTCTAGATTCTGATACTGAGATCTAGCAAAAAAAGTTGTAACTATATCAAAGTAGGGTATTAACGAGAAAAATAAAATCTGCAACGAACCATTAACCGAGAAACCCTGAAAAAATTCGATAATGATTCTTAGTATTTGATCTCTACTTCTTACAAGAATGTCTATCTTTTTGTCGTACTTTTTCAAGTTCCTATCAAAAAGTTTTCAAGAATTCTTATTTCCAAAATCTTGCAAGACTAATACCAATCGATATTAGGATTGTAATTGGAAAACCTACGGATTTAGTGAAGACCTTTCAGCATACTCTTCTTTGGATTTTTTTAAATTAAAAAAGACGTTTTCTTTTTAAATAAGGAATGAGAGAGTTTGGGAAAAATCATTTTCGATTCTACTCAGGGTTTTCCTAGGTAATGCAGCGAGGTTTCTAGCACGATTTCAGAAGACTGTCCAGAGATCGTTTCGAAACTCTCAGATTATCATTCTATTAGGATTTGAAGCTATGCCATACAAAAACCTTAACAGCCTCTGTCAAAATGAGTCGTGGTAGGTCACCCCATTCCGATCACATTCGGCGGTCAACGGAATATTGCAATCTAGATTTCTCGAGTGCTGAGGAGGTTTTCGAGGTCGAGCTATGTAAATCTTTGATCGATTTTCAAAAGCTGTCACTACGGTTACTAGGATCGTGGAGAATATTTTAGAAAACGATTGATATAGAACAAAGTTTCATGAAATGGTTCCCAACTACAGAAGTCGATAGTTTCTGGATAGTCGAAGGGTATTTGAGAAAAATGACGATGTAGTACAACTTTTGACAAAAGGGTTTCCAACTCGAAAAGTTGGAATGCGCGATCGGTTTCCAAAACATCAACATGTGTGTTTCTGAATTGGGAAAAGGTGCTCTGAGGAATCAATGATCACCTGTAAAGTTCCAACAAAGTTTTTTCAGATTAGGGAGTCTGGATTCGTGATGAATTTTTCAAAATTAATTACGCAAGGGTTGTAGATTGAGGAAGCAAAGACGTCTTCTAACATTTGGCCAATGGTTACTGACATCAAGGAAGTCGATTCATTCACAGGATTTTCAGAATATATCACCGTAGCTCTACCTAGGGTAAGGATATTCCATGAAACCTCTTTTCCATTATAATGCTTGGCGAAAGATTTCTAAGGATGTGGTCTCTGAATCCGCCATGAGTTTGTTAAAATTTATCATTCAGGTTTCTCGATTCGTGGAGGTTCTTTTCAGGAAGATCTTATTTTTCATACAAAGTGTCACCAAAGTTTTTTTTGGAGATCGAGAAATTCAGATCGGTTGCTGATTTCTCAATATTGAAGACAATGGTTTCTAGAAATGAGAAGGACATCTCAGAAAAGTAATGATATAATATAGTTTGACTAAAAAACCTCTCAACTCGAAAAAATCAAATTTGTGATACACTTCTCAAAACTCGTCATTCGTGTATCTTGATTAGGGAAGAAGTCGTCAGGGCTTGGTGGTTATGTGCTCGTCAAGTAATTATTAGGTACTAAGTTCGAACTTCAGTTAAACACAATGAATACACCTAAGAGTAGCGTCTGACGGAAGCAGCGTAGAAACCGCTGTTGGTAAAAAGAAAAAGACGATAGACATCAACCATTAGTGGCTATTAGAAAAAAAACCATATCGACTCGAATGTCGCTCCGGTGAACAAAGTTCATGTTCTTTGTCGAGAAATCAGGACAGAGCCGAAGAATTGGCTACTGAAATAACGCTAAACACAAGTGGTGTAGCAACAACTAAAAAAATGACTATCAAGAGTAAAAGCAACTGCCAAGTATGGTCCACAGAGACTGAAGGTGATGAAGAACACTATTCCAGTTGGAAATTAAGATTCAAAAGATTATATACAAATTTGCAAAATAATCGTAGAGCCGATGTAAGTCAACTCAAGGATGAAAAAATAAGACAGTCCGACCAAGCTAGACTATCCATTAATCTAGAGAACATTAAGTCATGATCCAACGTAGATTAGCATGTATCGGAAATAGAAGGAGCAGTCAAAGTAGTATTACAGGTAATCAGCAGGATATGAGTGGAAGTGTTGTTGAATAGAAGATGCATACTCTTGCTTCCCACCAACACACACACTCACGCCCTATCGATATACTATATTAATAACACAACATGTAAATCGAAACAAAATCAAACCTGCGAGGCTACAAAGGAAGATTAAGTCAACAATAGATAAATAAGAAAATAATAGATTTTACAGTTACCTGAATAGAGCTAATACGAAAAAATGAATTATGATTGAAACCATCGCTTACGTTGAAATGAGATAGAACAATGGCGATACCCATCTTTATATCTAATAACTAGGTCATGTATTTCGCATTAGTCCAAAGTCACGAAGCATTTGATATAATCATCTGACAAATAGAAGTTCGTTATTCCTCCAATGTCTTCTTAAGTAATTCATTTCTCTTCCAAAAAAGTAATCTTTCTAAAAGAAAAAAAGTATCATAAAAAGCAATATTGGATTGCTTTTTTCGATAAAAACCTTGAATAGGCTCGTGTCAGGACTCACAGAGGTCTCACTAGAGTCTCTAGATTAGAGTGGTAAAGGGGAGAGGGTAGGAGTGTGTATAAGAAAACGTTTCATAGAGACAGTAGGTTACTGAAAAAATTTTCATAAGTTTACTGAATTATAATGAATAATTTTTAACTATTCATGGATATACATCTACTACATTTCTCGCTTTCATGACCTCTGATCATTCTAGACATGAATACTGTTGTTGTAAAACATTGACTTACTTGTGTAACGACAGCCTAGAACAACTTCAAAAGCACATTTTTTTTTAAATATTTGTATATCTTCAAATTAAAGTGATAATCTATAGACAATCACACTCATTAGTATTTTGGACTGTGCTCTCATTCCACATCAAGGATGCCTTTATTCGACTATCATTGCGAACAATACCGAGTAAAAATAATCTACCGAATAAAACATTCTATTATTGAAAACGTTTAAAAGAGGATGTGGGATGCAGGTAGAGGCAAGATACACTTACACCCACACTCAAGATCAATTTTCATGCGAAGGAGTCAAAATTTCAACATAGATATATTTAGATGAGGACATTTCAGCATTAGCAAAAATCTCACAGCACTTGACTCTCATTCAAGAGTTCAGCACTGTCTCTATCGCCAATAAAAATTTCGTGTCCAATAATCGCAGTTTGCTTGATTTATGAAGTTATCTTTGGATACTCTTAGCATGAGAGTTGATGGAACTCGTGATGTGATGATTATAGCTATTTGTAGAATGGAGATATATGAATAGCTGTCCCAGATAATATTAACGTCAATGCGACTCAGGGTTACAGGAGATTCGAATCTCGTGACTGTGACAGAATACGATCATGTGGAGCTTTATTTGTCAATAAAGGCATGTATATTAATACTTTAAAATAATGACAAACCAGTAATGTGTCAAAAAAAACTTTTTTTTAAACGTCCAAGGAAAAAGACGGCTTTTTTCCTACATTCAATGCATTGTTTCAGTAATTCTGAAATCTTCGGGCTACTGTTTAGAACAACGATGTTTTTTCTTGTGATTAATTCAATATATTCGATTTTCTTTTCATCATTTCTTTCGTGAACATCTCAAAGCAACTGATGAAATGTATGAACCAAAAGTTTAGAATCAATTTCATCATGGAATGTTTTATAAACAAAATGAATAAGTAGGATTACAGAAATGAATGAAGAAATTTGTAGTACTAATATGGATTTGGCATTTTTTAAAGATATTATAATTTACCTACTATTGTATGGATTCTTGATTGCTTCCCCTAATCAATTAAATTTTGTAATTTCCTTTTTAGGTTTCATGTGCAACCAATATGCCAAAAGGATATTTATTATTGGGAAGGTAGTGGAAAACAATCTTTAACTAGTTTAGTTGCTTATGTTACAGGTGAATGGATGCATACATTCAGATTTTATCTTCGATATAATTTTTCTTCAGGTGACAAATATTTTAAAATCAGTGTGCCAAAGTATAATAAGATAAAGTCATTTTATATTAATTTATAATAATATCTATTAAAGAGCATATACATTGAACAATTTGTTGATGATTTACAAAATGTTTATCGGTGTGCTGTGCCTCTTGGTCAAGATATTGCATTTACTGCATAATTTTTATATTAACTGGACTGTGATATATATATATATTCAAATCCGAATAAAACCGAAACAACTCATCGTATAAGATTGGATTATGGTGCCAATACTCTAGAAACTTGTTGAAACTCTGCAAATTAGAAATATCGTCCGATTCTTTTATGAACTTCCAGAAGAGCATCAAAATAACATAAATGTTCTAGAATCTTCTAGAAAAAATCCAATAATGTAAACATGAACGATCTAGAAATTTTTGGAAAAATTGTACAAATATTCTAAAAATATATTCCTAAAATTAATGTACTAGCTAGAAGATATTTGGAAAAAAGGTAGAAGTGACTGAAACATAAGATTTTTTAAAAATGGATAGAAAGCAAATGTTTTTCTTTAAACAAGTTATATATTTCGCACTGAAAGGCAGAAGAGAAGAGTTTTTAATAAAATATTCTGCAAATTTTCTAATAATAGCTGTATGACATAAAATCCGACTTTTATAAGAAAATCTACAAAATTTTTCATTTAAACATCTTAGTTTTTGCTTTGTAGTGCGAAATATAAAAGTTGTTTGATTTAAAAAAGTTTATATTTTATCTAATTTTTTTTACATCAATTATGAGATAAATAACGCTCGTCGTTGTGATTTGTTTGATCCTCTACTGGATACTCAACTCTTTCTATATAATATACTACAATACAAGCCCAATCGAGGATGTGGATGCTGATGTGTATATCTGTACCAACATCGATATGAACTTAGGTGCGTGTGTCCATGTGGTTCTTCTCTTTACCTATTCAATCAATCACAATCATAATTCCATATCCACGCTCAAATTCAAATCTAACGATCATGACACCCACACCCGGTTTTCTTTTCACTTAGACTCAAATCTACATCCCACTTTTTTTCGAAAAACTGAAGTGCTTTCGAGTACCCACCTATGTTGTTGTACAGTTGGCCGATGTTGTCATAGGAAGTGGTCAATAAGAAATGATTTGGATGCAGTGTTTTTTTTCAAAGGTTTGATGTGCTTCTTCGTAAAATTCAAGTACTCTTCAATACTCATTCATCTTATGACACAAGGAACCAATGCTGCTGTAGGTAGAAGCCAATTGAAGAATGATTTTATAGGAGAGTTTTTCGCTTAATTTCTAGAAATTTTCTAAAAATGAAGCCGATCCTTTATACTTTTCTTGGTTTCATTTCACTAGTCGAAGCGGCGGATAAGTAAATGCTCTATCATTATCAGTGAACCCAATGGAGACATCTCGCTTCGTACTGGTGAATAAAAAATTATTGGATGATATAAGTTCACCTTTATTTTTTGCCGATTTGTCGAAGTCGACTTTGGATAATCTCAAGCCCCGATAAACTAAAAATGCTTTCCCTTGATGGAGATCACTCTGTTATCTGAGCAAAGCTTCAATTTATCGGTGCACGTTATAAAGAAAAAACTCATTCTTATGATGATGTCGCCTTGATTGGATGTGGAATATGAATATGTAGATAGCTACCGTGACACGTTCCGACTGGTACTTAATCAGTCTTCATTAGATGACCTAAGCCTTTGGTTAGAGATTTTGGGTACAAGTACGGTGGTGGGTATGGGGTGGATTACAGATGAGATAAAGAAACGCCGATACCCATCCATACCCCACACTCTCACATTAAAGACCTAAGCTAGCTGATGAAGACTGATTAAGCAACAGTCGACACGTGTCATGGTAGCTTCTACACACCCAGACCTACACCCTATAGTATACTACCTCATATATGTTTAGTAAATATAGAACAAGCAAATAAAAATAAAACCTGTATAGAATTATTTTCAATTTAGTTTTATTCTTATTTGCTCGTTCTATATTTACTAAACATTTATCTTAAGTTTTACATTATACTAAATTTTATTGACTGACGATGTCTATTAAGGTTTTCTCCAAATACACAAATACATCAAATATTGTCTGTTTTCCTATTAAATAAAGCACATGAATTGTAGTTTTTTTCTACTATGTATTCATATGAGATGGACCAATTATTTTTATTTTTCGTTCTTTGCTCTATTTTCGTGTTGTGGTATTTTTCTTTATGTCACTATAAATATTCTCTTATTCTTCTATCTTCGGCGGTTATTGTCATTCAATAAACCGAATTTACATTCACAAAAACCACAAAATTTAAAATATCAATCTGGTTGACGTGGAATCATTCTTCTATTCTTCTAGAAAAGTAAAAATGATTCCATTACTGATATATCGTAGTATTCATTTAATGAGCAAATATGGTAGTTACCGAACATTAAATTTTATCCTAATAGTATGATTTGTTTATTGATAGTTTATATATAATACTGAGCATTTAATTTATTCCTATAACAAAATATTAAAGTAGAATACTTATAATTGTTTTCGAATAAAATATTTCATTGATTTTAAAATAAATATTTTGGAAAAAAACCCCAGATAAATAATATTCTTTTTTTTTTATAGTAAGCTCATTCATTCAGTATTTGAAACATGGATGTTATGGGTTCAACACCAACAGCTCCATACACACGTAGGAGTCATCGACCACAACAAGGTAGACTTTTATCATCTGTTCCACCATATTCTGGTATACTCACTCGATCACTTTCTATTCCATGGCGTCCAGCAATGTATTATCAAACAGCACGCGTTGATTCGACACAACCATTTAGTTCACAAAATTATTTAAATAATATCGATAATGCTAGAGTACCACTAATATTTCCATCAGCTCGTCTAGCACTTTGTACACGTTATACACCAAAAGATTGGCATGATGCTCAAATGACAAATTATTCAGCATCGAATCAAATTTGTGCTGCAGCTGAACGTTTACGTTCAGATGCAATACGTTTAGCACGTGAAAAAGATGAACAAGCATTTAAAAATAATTCTGAATCATCAAGACGCTTAAGCGAAAGTATAAATGATATTGAATATTGGGAAAAGGAACTAGAAAAAATAATAGATAAAATGAAACGTAAAGTAGCTGATGTGGAATTTAAACGACGTGAAGCTGAACGATTATCATTCGAATTAGAAAAACCATTGGGTATAGCACAAGAAAATTTATATGAACGTGAAAAACGTCAAGGTTTTATAATTTAATCTGTTTAAATAAAAGACAATAACAAATTATTTTTATTTAGGTATTGATCTTGTGCATGATAATGTTGAACAAGAACTTATTCGGGTAAGTTTTCACAATTACAAAAACAACGAAAAAAATTGAAAGAAAAGTTTGTATAGGAAATTGATGCAATTAAATTATCTCAACAAAAACTTCGACAAATGCTCGAACATCTTAATACCCAAAATGCGTAAGTGTTCTGTGTCACAATAGACTAAATACTTATTATCTGATATTTTTAAGTCTAAATTGTACTTCATTACACGAATTAGAACGTGATGCACAAAATAAATTTCGCGCTCGAGTACTTGATTCAACTGCTCATAATATTAAAACAAAATCACATGGTATTAACTTTTATGAAGGTATTGAAAATGTGGATAACACGTAAGTTTGAAATTTTTAAGATATTTGTGTTATGTATTTTAATATTCAAGAAAACAAAGAATAAGACAATTATTAAGGAAACATAGTATTTCTTCCATTGTTGAATTTAATATTTTTTTCAATGAAAATTTTATATGATTATTACTTTTCATGCCCATGCAATATACATGCACTAAACAGGAACTCTGGTCTGGCTGTCGGAAACTATTGAACAAATTTTGACAGTGCCGAGTATTTAGATGATGAGCCAAGTGGTTCTTGAACAATCATGAAAACACCATAAGGTTCTATCTAGATTGAGTATTGTTCAGCATCGTTAGTATTCTCATGGGATGCCTTTAGTTCTTCCACTGTTGGATCATTTATTTCACTCTGTATGGATTTACCATAAATAACCTTGAGATCAATTCATTCGGCTTACTTCTATTTCCTTTTATAAATTAACTAAAACTATATAAAGTCTAAATTGAACCAGACAGTTCTGATTCAATGTATGTCTAATTTTTGAATCTTTCAAAAAGTCACACATTTTTCATTAAAAGAGTATTTCATTATATTATTTTTTTACTTGAATCGTTTGTTTTATAGTGTATCAATACCAGAATCATGGGCACGATTTACAGAAGAAAATATTCGTCGAGCACTTAGTGAAATTTCTCAATCGAATGAATTACTTAATGCTACTGACCAACTTATAGCAACAATTAACAATGGTATGTGGTCACAATGGAACCATGTTAATATGTCACTTGAAAATCGTGTACAAGAAGAACGAGCAGCGAAAAATAATATACAAGCTCATCTTGAAAAGGTTTCTTTTATCATTACTGACGAAAAAATTAATAAATATATATATATATATACATATTGAAATTCTTTGTTTTTAGATTCGTCAAGAAACCGTTGATGTGGAAAAAAATATTGAATTTTTGAAAAAAACAATTGCTGATAAAGAGGCATTTTTACAAGTTGCTCAAACACGTCTAGAAATACGTACAAGACGACCAAATGTTGAAGCATGTCGAGATTCTGCTATGCATAGGTTAATAGAAAAATTAGGAACTCAACGATGACGGTGTACCGATAATTCACTGTTGCTGTTGCATTCCAATATTGAAAAAAAAGAAACAATATTCAAGATTTTTCCTTTTGTTTTATTTAATATATAGATTAATTCAAGAAGTTCATGATTTACATGCAGCTATTGCTGATCTTCATGGTAAATTAAGTCAAGAAGAAAATGTTGTACAAAATTTATTACGTGCTAAATCAACCTTAGAACACGATTTAGCAATTAAAAATAATTCATTATTTATTGATTCTGACAAGGTTATGGGTATTCGACGTGCACTCACGATGGGTACATCAGCAAAAAGCTCAGCTACTCCGATATCATTATCTCATCCATGTGATTTTATTATTGTGTGAAGAAATCGTAAGATTTATTATGGATTAAAATACTAATAGAAAAGAGAAAACAGTTAAAATTGATGTTTTTTTTTCAAAATTTTAGCGAATTGTCCATCGTGGTCTTCCAAATAAAGAAGCTCATCATTGATATCATCAGTTTTCTTCTTCATAAAATATAAAAATAAACAAGAGACATATTATTTTTATTTCTTCTTTTCCATCTTTTCTTCTTTATTTTTATTCTATTTTCTAAAACTAAACATGTGTCTCCTATTTTTTTCTTGTGCAAACCATACTCATTTTCCTCTTTATTGAAACTATATTTTCATTTTTAATACAAGTAACGCTGGTCCATGGATTCGCTTGACCCTCGATTGAATATTTGGCTCTTTCAATATTATATATTACTTTACAGCCATCAACAAATATAGTATCCAACGTGTGAAAAAGGAATGGGTTTGAGTGCGGATGTTGATATTAGTGTCAGTCACGTTGTGCGCAAACGGAATGCGTAGCCGGGTAATGGTGTTTCTGA